GCCTGCCAGTGCAGGGAACATGGGTTAGAGCCCTGGTCCGGGAAGATCCCACATGCTGCAGAGCAACTAAGCCCGTGCGCCACAACTACTGAGCCTGTGCTCTAGAGCCCGCGGGCCACAACTACTGAGCCTGAGAGCCAAAGCTACTGAGGCCTGCGCACCTAGAGCCTATGCTCTGCCACAAGAAAAGCCACCGCAATGAGAAGCCTGCGCACTGCAACGAAGAGTAGCCCCCGCTCGGCGTAACTAGAGAAAGCCCATGCACAGCAACGAAGACCCAACACAGCCAAAAATAAAATAAAGAAATAAAATAATTTAAAAAAATAAAAGGGGCTTCCCAGGTGGCGCAGCGGTTAAGAATCTGCCTGCCAATGCAGGGGACATGGGTTGGAGCCCTGGTCAGGGAAGATCCCACATGCTGTGGAGCAACTAAGCCCGTGCGCCACAACTACTGAGCCTGAGCTCTAGAGCCCGCGAGCCACAATTACTGAAGCCCGCGTGCCTAGAGCCCGTGCTCCTCAACAAGAGAAGCCACCGCAATGAGAAGCCCGCGCACTGCAAAGAAGAGCAGCTCCGGTTCGCTGCAACTAGAGAAAGCCTGTGTGCAGCAATGAAGACCCAACGCAGCCAAAAATAAAAAAAAAAAAAAAAAAAAGCCCAGCCCCATCTCCAGACCTGATGAGTCAGACATGCCAAGGGTAAGATCTAGGAATCTGTAGTTCCTAAAGCACCCGAGGTCACTGTGATGTTCTGTTTGGGAGCCTGGTATAGAGAAAAGGATGTGGGTTTTGGAATCAGACTAGAGTTCAAACTCTATCTCTGCCTCTTACCTGCTACGTGACTCTGGGCAAACTACTCATCTCTTTGAGCCTGTGTTCTTCTCGTCTATAAAAATGGAGAAATAACATCTGTCCGGATTATTTTAGAGAATTATGTAAAGGTACTTGCTGTTCTCTTGCTTCTTATCCTTCCTCCTGAATGTGTCTGAGGTTCACTGCTACACGCACAAACCTGTGCCCTTCACAAGGGGCAACAGCCAGAGGTCAGAAGAGCCCAACACTTGGTACCCTGTGGGCAGGGACAGGAAGCCTCCGGCGGAGCCCCTCCCTCCCCCTCACAAGCCTGTGAACACTGGAGGCTACATCCTGCAGAGCTGGGTGTAAACTGCTTCGGCAGGCAGGGCTGTGGGTGACAAAACAGAGGTACGAGAAGCTTTGTTCCCTGCCCCGTTTTATGTGGCATTGAAGCCTGCCTGGTTTCACAAGGGCCTACAGAGCTCCATCTGCCAGTGTGAGGATCCAGATCTTTGTGCGTGGCAACACAGTGCAGGCACAAAGAGCAGGGCCCTGCTTAGGGTACGGCAGGCAGAGGGCACAGGTCAGCATTACAGGGATGCCAACTTGTACAGAAAAAGACGACCCATGTTATTGGTGGGTGAGGTCAACCCTGGGAAGGGACAGGACAAAGCTCGGGGGGCCAATTGCCATGAAGCCTGGACAACTGAAGAAAAGTGAGAGGGAGGCCCTGGGCAGACTCCAAGCGGTCAGAGTCCAGTCTGAGTTGGCTCTGGGGTCCTGAGCTGATAGGCTGCAAGCTCCGTGGCCACTGTAGAAGGACAGAGTAAGTCAGGGAGAAGTCCAGGGAGCCAGGTGGAGTCCTTATGGGGCTCCATCTCCCCTCACCTTCCACCAGAGATGCACTGGCAGGAAGCGGCTCCCAGCCAACACCAGCACACATGCCACGGGTTGCCTGCACTCAATCTTTCCACACCCTCCCCACAGTTCCTCACCAGAGTCCTGGTCAAAGCCCCGTCACAGGCACAATATGGTGACATTTGGCGTGCTGGGGGAGAGGACAAGATAGAGCTTGAAGAGTTAGCACCCGATCCCTTTCCCAGCAGGGCTAGACGCGGGTAGGGGGAGATATGCCTACTGCCTAGCAGAGCAGAGGTTGAGGTCTCCCTGCTAATTAAGAGCATTGTAAAACAGGCGGCCAGGAACCCCCAACTCCAAGGAGAAGCTGAAGATGCTGAGCGATTAGGTCTGTGACCAGTGCTCCAGGACAGGCATGGGTCGTTAACAGTAGTATCAACGAGGCCATGTTCTGCGGATGTCACGCAGTGGTGGTAGGCAACCCGGCCACACCGAGGACCAGAGTGGCGACGTGACCGCCCACCTCCCTGGGGCCAGGAGGCTCAGAGGGGGCCCTGTTTCATCAGTGCCAAGAAGGGGATCGTGACCAGTCATGGGGGCCCTACCTGCTGGTGCCAGGGGTTTAGGTGATTCTGTCTCCCTGCTGGAGAGTTGGAAGCCGTCCCTGCCTCGGTACCACAGAGAAGGCGCGCTAAGCTGCCGGTGCCAGGGAATGACCCCCACTCGGTGCCAGTGGCCGGATGCTGGGGGATGACCCCCACGCAGCGCCAACGCCAAGACAACCCGGGTCGCCGGTGCCCGGGAACACCCCGCTCGGTGTCAGTACCAGGTGGCCGAGGGATGCCTCCCGCCGCCGCCGCCGCGCTCACCTGTGCCCGAAGAGACGCAGTCCTGGGAAACGCCGCTTGCTGAGACGCCGGGGCGCCTTGTCCGGCTCGGGACCGGCGTCGCGCTCGCAGCCGCTGGACGAGGCGGAGGCCGACTCGGAGTCGCTGCTCCGGGCCTCGGGGCTGCCGTCCCGCGGCTCCATCCGGCCCTAGCCCCGGCCGGCGGCGGGCCCGCGGAAGACGCCCATGCCGGGCCGGCGGCCGGGGCTTAGCAAGCCGGCTCCTCGCCGCCCGCCGCGGCCATGGCGCGCGCTCGCTCCGCCCGCCCCGCGCCGCGCGCCCCCGCGCTCCACGCCCAGGTGCTGGGGAAGCAGCCGCAGTCGCCGCTCCAGGAAGTGCCGCCAGCTGCGGCCGCAGGACCCCGCATAGCTGGCCGGGCCGCTGCCTGCCCGCCGCCGAGCACGCCCCCTCGGCTACGCGGTGGCACCGGCCCGCCGCGCCCTCTGCCGGCCGCCGGCCGAGCTGCAACCCGCCTGGGCCGCCAGAGGGGGCGGGGGGTCGAGAGGGGGCGGGGCAACGGAGCCCCCGCCCACAACCCCAGCTGGTCCGCCTCCGGGATTAGAATAGAATCTCCAACCCGACACAGCCGCCCTGCGCGCACCCAGGCACACGCAACCTTTTTTTCTCCCTCTTAGCCCCGTCTCCCCGCACCAAACAACCTACATACTCACAAGTGAACACTCGCGAGGGTGGCTATCACCACCTCCCCTCCCACATCTACAAGGAATAGACACCTCTCTCGCACACCCTGTGCCCTTCACAGCCACTCATACAATCTCCACTCCTACCCTCTTTGCTCTCCCAAATCACGCCCTCGGGAACAAAAGTCACACAGTGCTCCCCATACGCACAGAACAGACACGCCTCTCACACAATTATGCTCACTCATTACACAAACTAACACTTCCCACACCAGCCTCTCACACTCAGAAATGTATACCAGGACCAAAGTCACTTAGTGACCCTCACACACACTAACCACACGTTTCTCATTCAAATTCATCTTTCTAAATCCAAAGCTGTTTCTAATCCTTTCACACTCCTAACACATAGCACTTTCCCAACACAATATCCGACGGAACCTGTAAATCTCTTACACTACAGGAATCACCTGCACACCTCTTACATACTCATAAATACATACACAAAAGCAAGGACCACACTCTCATTCCCCAACATCCATGCCCTCAGTGAACATATACGTCTTTCTCCTATACCCAAATATAACCCAGGACAACGGTTACATGTTGCCACATCCCTCTTACATATACCTCACCCACCCAGAAATATACCTCGCAGCCACACACAAACACACCCCCATGGGCAGCAAAGGTTGTCCCCCTCAAGAGATGAGGACAGCAAGTGGAACCAGAGCAGTCGCCTGTGGTGGCACAGCCAGTACACGTGCTTGAGAATCAGCAGCTTGGGGGCAGCCTCTGATAGCCCCTGCAGGGCTGACAAAAGGAGGCCAGGAAGCTGGAGAGTATGGGTCTTCTCCCTCCAAACCCTGCCACCCCGATGCCCATATCAGCTGCCTGCTGTTTCTGTTAGCACTCCTCTCTGCAAAGCCACATCCTGTGTCACTTCACTTTCACCCTCTCTGGGGTTCTGGCAGCCCCTTTTCCAGCCTCAGCCTGCCACACATAGCCAGTGCCGGGAGCTGTGACATGTGGGCAACCCTGCCGTTTTAAAAAAATAGCCAGCATCTAGAAGCTCAGAACCTTCTCCCAGCTTCCTTCACGTTTCCTCTAGGCCTGGAGACCAGGGGAATGGGGCACCAGCCCTCCCAGCAGCTGCAGGTGCCAGGGTGGCAGTGAAATCTGCAAGTGGGCCGGACACGGTCCTCCTGGGGTGCGTGGGTCCCTTTGGGAAAGTTTCCCAATGCTTCTGACACCAAGCTCTGAGGGAGGAGACCAGAGGCTACTGAAGACCCCACTGAGTCTGCACAAGGCACCCAATGCCACACTCTTGTGGGGACTTCTCTGCCCAGACCCCCCCGCGGTTAGCTCCCTCGACTCCTAGCCTTCTGCAAGCTCAGGCCCCACCACACTGCCCCAGCAATTCAAACAACAGAGCCCTTCTCACCCTGCCAAGTACCCCTTTGCCATTTTCTGCGCCTCTGCAGAGCCACTGGACACAGGGAGGGGCGTAACCCCACTTCTGTCACTCCCCCAACCCCAGATAAAAGACTCATGGAGGGACTGAGGGCCAGAGGTCCCTGTGCTCATTCTCCAGCCACCCAAGTACCTACTGTGACTGGGGGGCCTCAGCTGGGATCTGTGGCACGTCCCAGGAGCGGTAGCGCCACATCTGCCTCAATGCGCCGGGCCGCTCTCCTTCTTCTGTCTCCAGAGCCTCTGCGGGGCCCAGAGCCGCAGCCTCATCGCAGCCTCCCCCGGTACTGTGGCCGGCCCCCAGTGTGCTCATCCTGCCCGGCGACTCTCTTCCTCTTTCGGCACTTCCTGACCAGGGGGCCCTGCGAGAGGCCGGCCGGCTGCCCCGTCGAGGACCATAAGCCTCGTAGGCGCCTTCCGCTGGCCAGGGCAGGAGGCTGGCTGGGAAGAGGAGCTGCCCCGGAGGGCAAGAGGCAGGTGAGGACAAGCCCAGCCCAGCAGCCAGGAGACAGCACCAAGTCAGAGGCTGTCAGGCAGCCAGCAGGCCTGCCCAGGCTGGAATCTGAACCTGGGCCCCAGTCTGGCCTTCCTCTCCACCTAACTGCTCCGATCTTCACCTCTTGGTCCTGCTGAGGTCTCCTGCTCCCTCACAACCTCTGGGTGCACTGGGACCGTGCCCAGCCCACACACAGCTCTCTCTCCTCTCAGCTCTGTGAGCACCACACCGTCTAACACACGGACGGTGGCGGAGTGGAGAGCGTAACCAGAATGGAGCTAGAAGATGTGGGCGCACGTCCTGTTTCTGCCACTTACCAGCTGTGCACTCTGGATCAGGTCAGAGAGGTTTACCTCTCCAGGTCACCTGAAATCCTTTTTGGAATAAGGTAGGCTATAAACAGATAAACTGGTGAATATGTGTGTCAGGGAGCCTTTCTGAGCCTCAGTTTTCTCATCTGTAACATGGAAGGGGGCAACAGTAATAACTGAGCTTGTGGAGTTTTAGGAGGATTAAACGAGAGGCGAAAGGGTTTACAAATGAATTCATTCAATAAATATTTATTGAGTGCCTTCTATCTGTGCGTCAGGCACTGTATCAGACTAGATAGCAGTGTGCAAGGAACCAGCGCTCTAACATTATGTTGCTTAGATTCTATTCTAAACACATAATATATGAAATAATGTCCGGTAATGAGATGAGATGAGCTATAGAGAAAAATAAAGCCAAGGCGAAGAGGGAGGAGGAGGATGACAGCGATGTTACTTAGGTTAGGGGGACTGGGGAAGGCCTCCTGAGGTGACGTGTGAGAACAGACCCGAATGAATTGAGAGAGCAAGTTATGTGACAGTCTGGGAGAACAGCAGTCCAGGTGGAAGGAACAGTAAGAGCAAAGGCCCTTTGAGTAGGAATGTACTTGATGTGTCTAAAGAATAGCAAAAAGGCCACACTGGGTGGACTTTCAGGCCATCGTGAGGATTTGGTAAATAAATAGTAAGGCATACGCTCGCTCTTTGTTATTAGGGTTGGTTCTGGGATGGAAATCATACATTCCTTAAGCACTCTTTAGTCACGCTGCTCTATAATTAGTTCTTTAGCTCTGTATGTGTTTGTTACCCCAGAAAGATTGTAAATTTCTCGAGGACAGAAAGGGTGTCAGTTCAATTCAGTTCAGTTCAATAAACGTTTATGCTACAGAACCTGCAGACACAGGAATGTACACGATGCCATCCCAGCCCTTAGAAACCTCCATCTGGTGCTGTAATCACCTTTGTGTCCCTCATGACTGGAACATAATATTTCTCAATAACTATTTGCTTAATAAATCATGACTAGTTAATACTTGGTAATAATAAAAAATAGCTAATATTTCTTGGACATTTCTGTGCCAGAAACCTTTGAATTCTTGTGACAATCCTATGACATAGATCTTGTTATTTTCCTCCTTTTACAGATGGAGAAACTGAGGCACAGAGCGGCTAAGCTCATTTGTCCAAGGTTACCCAGCCTGTAAATGGTAGAAATAAGAATTTCACCCCAGAGTCTGTGCCCGTAAACGAGACATCCTATTGCCCCTCTAGGATTGGGGACATAGCCAGGTGATGCCACTGAAGCTTGGCAGCCCCTTTCCCAGTGGCTCTCCCTCCAGCCCATCACCCTGCCTCAAGGCAGGTCCTGTGTGCTGTGGCCCAGCAGAGACTCTGCCAGCCAGGCCAAGGTCTATTCTAGAAGGAGGCTGTTGCAGGGCCCTGTCCTCCTCTCCCAGGGATTCTGCAAGTAGCTTGAACAGTTAAACAGAGGAAATGGGGCTGGGCTTGTTTTCAGTCTGAGGCTTCTGGCAGCCCTGGAGTAGCAGGGAGCAGGAAATGTGACGCCTGGAGGGGAAGCTGGGCAGGCTGGAGGCTCCGAGAGGCAGAGCAGTCCTAGCTGTGGGACCACAGTCCCCCTGGGCTTGTACTCACTGAAGCTGTCAGTACTTTGCAGGTGGGGTGGGGAGGACAAGGCTGGAAGGGACAGGTGCACAGGGCTGGGGAGGATGCCCTCGGCAGTTCCTAGGACAACGTGTGCCAGCACTGGGGAGCTGGGGACCCCTCAGAATCCACCCAGGAAGAGGAATCTGGGTAAGAAAATTATTCTGGGCTTTTTTGAGGCCCCAGGGGGTGAGGTGTTCTACTTTCTGTGGCCTGGATGAGCAAGTGGGAGCTGGGGAAAAGAAATGTACCAGGGCACCAAACACTTAACGCACGATCTGGACAGCCACTGCTCTCACAACCAGCCAAGCCAACCTCCTTGGCCTGACCTTCAAGGCTCCTTGTGTTCTGGTTCCTTTCTTTTTTGCCTCTTCGTCCAAGCTTTCCCTGCAGAGATTTTCTCTCAGCTCACACCATGCTGGTGCCTGCCTCACAGTAAGTACTCAATAAACATTTCTTCCCTGTTTCTTCACACTTCTTTTAACATGCTGCCCTCACCCCTGCCATTTCATTCTGCTTATGCTGCTCTCCTTGCCCTGTCTGCCCATAAAGCTTGGCCAATCAAAATCTCCATCTTTCAAAACCCCAGCCCAAAGAGCAAAAGTGGGAAGGTGGAAAGAGTTGGTTCAAACCCCAGCCCTTGCTGTGTGATGCTGGGCAAGTCACTTAACATCTCTGGGTTGGATCAGATGATTTCTAAGATCTTGTCTAGCTCTGACAGTTTCATTTGAATCTCCTTCCCTGATCTCCAGGTTTTCACTCACTCATTCATTCATATGACAAATATTTTATAAATATCAATACCTACTAAGTGTCGAATGCTGCTCTAGAGCCAGCACTCCCATCCCACTGATGTGTCTCTGACACTCCCCTTTGTTCCCCCCAAATATTCCTCTATTATGTGACCTTTTATGCATATGAGTCTTGTCTCCTTACAAGAGTCTTGAACCCAGGGTAGCTCCTAGCTCTGTGCGGGGTGCACAGTATGTGCTTAGTAACTTCGTATGAAAGTCGAAATGAGCTGAATATAGCTGTCCAACAAGCAGAGCAGAGGGAGGGGGGCTGGCTTCCCGTTCGCATGAGTGGCTGTGGTGAGACATGAGGGACTTTGGGAGCCCATGTCCCTTCCCAGCAGCTAAGCCTGTGATCCAGGTACCTGCTGGGGGCCCTTGGGAGCAACCTAGAGCCGAAAAGCACCTGCTGACCTTGGCCCCTGCCCAGGTTCTGGGCCTCTACCTCCACAGAGGAGACAGATGTACCTGAGCTGGGTTGCAGGTGCTGCTGGCTAGTGACAGATGGAAATTTGATTAGGCTCCTTCTGGGTAGCCTCATTAAAGTCACGTGTGGGAGGAAATCTGGAGGAGGGGCTGCGGACCCTTTCCCACTGGGGCAAGAGAGCTGTGGGTAGAGCACAGGCAGCTCTGCAGTGAAGCGTGGTCCCTCAAACCATGATCGCTCTTGGAAACTGCCTTCGGCACCTTCCAGGTCCCCAGGCTGGAGGGGAGAGGAGCTTGGGTGTCTGTCCCCTTGCTCGGGGTCAGCTAGATCTGCCCTGAGGAGCTTCCTGCTGCTTCGGGCCTGGACTGCAGCACCAAGCTCCCAGGGCAAGATCCGCAGGTCTCCTGCCCTTCAAGCCTCCCGTCCCCATCTGTTGGATCACAAGCCCTGATTGCAGAACCACCTTCCAGCCCTCACACCCCTTTGCTATTACCCCTCCCAGGGATATGTGCACTTAGTACAGAGCCAAAAGAAGAGAGCCTTAAGGATGAACGTCCAGGCCCTTGAAAGCCTGACAACGGGTTTGGAGTGAAGCTGACCTGAGTCTGGATCCTGGCTCTACCAGTTACTGACTGGGATCTTAGCAAATTGCTTAACTTCTCTGAGGCTCAGTTTCTCATCTGTAAGATGCTGCTGAGTGATCCACAAATCCCCCCCTATTCTATGAGTCCAGATGAATCTTCCTTCCCCAAACACCTGTAGGCCAAGAACACTGGTTAAGCACAGTGGGGCCCAGCAGAAACCAGATGTGTTCCCGGTGCCTTCCCTACCCACTTTGTGCATCCTTAAAGACAGGTCTTGGGCTTCCCTGGTGGCGCAGTGGTTGGGAGTCCGCCTGCTGGTGCGGGGGGCGCAGGTTTGTGCCCCGGTCCGGGAGGATCCCGCGTGCCGCGGAGCGGCTGGGCCCGTGAGCCGTGGCCGCTGATCCTGCGCGTCCGGAGCCTGTGCTCCTAGACGGGAGAGGCCACGACAGTGAGAGGCCTGTGTACCGCAAAAAAAAAAAAAAGAAAAAAAAAAGACAGGTCTTCCTTAGCCTGTGCTAACCCTTGTCCTTGGGACCTGGATCCTTGGGGGCTTCTCTGTATGCCCTGCTCTGAAATGGCACTAACTGAAGGAAAGATGAGACTCCAACCCAGGCTTCCTGATGTCTTTTTAGCAGCACAGCAGAGAAGAACTTGTTCAAGTGCCTCTGCTGGAACTGGTCCTCCCAGCTCCCCTCCAAAAGTCCCAAGGGACTTATGTCCTCTGGTGCTGGAGGTGCGGGGCATGAGATGCTGAGGGGGCCTGTCTCAAGCGCCCTGGGCTAAAATAGGCTCAGATAAGACCCTCCTTCTGGAATCCCAACCCTACAACGCCGCCTTCACATAAGCCTGGCCCCACCTCTAGGCACAGCCTTCCTGGCCTTTGACTCACGAGTCAGCAAGAATCTTGGTTCCCTGAGGGGAGGAAGGAGTTCCGGGCCGGGCCTGGGCCCGCACCCTTCCCAAAGGAAGGAGAACGATAGACCCCCTGCTTCCTGCTTCCTCTGGCAGCGGGCCCCCTCCTCCAGCTCCAGCTCCTCTCTCTGCCCCCGGTTTTTGCATTTTAAATTCAGGACAGAATGTGATCTCTTGCAGCTCTTTGCTTTATCCCGTTGCTATTTAAATTACAAATCGGCCCCATCTCCCTGTCACTCTTTGGTTATTTTTAGCTTCTGGTAAATAGCAGCAGGGAGAGTTGGATCAGGTGCCCCTCCCTCGAGGAGCTTGGTACCCACAGTCCCATGCCCACAGCAGGGGGCACCCTCCCCTGCCAGCTGGCACCCCCAGTCGCTTCCCCCCAGCCCCTCCGTGGGGGTGGAGGGGGCAGGGGGAGGATTGCAGCCTGGGACGTGCACAGAGGCTCAGCCCTTGCTCTTAGCCTTTGTTAAACTCTGCCACTCCCAGGTCTCATCAGCCATCCATCACTCAGGGCGAACCTCGTTCAGGGGCCTTCCTGAACCTCTCCCCGGCCCCAACACACAAGAAGGTCCAGCTATAGAGGGCAGAAGATCTAACTTGTGTCTCACCCACGCTACAAGTCAGGAACTTTACATCTCTTATCTTCTTTCATCTTGCCAGCCACCCTCTTGTACAGGTATTATTGTTCCCATTTTCCATAGAGGAAATGGGGTCAGACGTGAAAGTGATTTACCCAGCTAGCAAGGGGCAGAGCTGGAATTCGAACCCAGGTTTCTCTGACCCTGAAGACTGCATGCATGTGCATTGCACTGCCTCTCTCAGTGCAATGCATGTGCCACTTTGCCCAATGCCCGTGTGAATTCCTAATGCCCACCATCAGCTGTCTTTCCCATGTGTTTGTCCCGTCCCATCTGCTGGATCGGGGGTTGGCAAACTATGGCCAAGGGCTACATCTGGTCTGCTGCCTGATTTTGTATGGCTGTGAGCTAAGAATGGTCTTTACAATTTTAAATGGTTGGAAAAGAGCAAAAGAATATTTGTGACAGTAGAAATGATATGAAATTTAAAGTTCAGTGTCTATAAATAAAGTTTTACTGGAGTCCAGTCACGCTTATTGGTTTCCATATTGTCTGTGGAGGCTTTTGCACACTGTGACTGCAGAGCGAAGTGACAGAGACCATGTGACCTGTGAAGCTGGAAATATTTACTGTCTGGCCCTGGATGGAATCATACTTTTGTTGAGAGAAGAATGTTATCTCATGCTTCCATCTCATACAGTGTCTGGCCCAGGGTCAGAGCTGCAGACAGAGGTGCTGACCCTCCTTCAAGGTCTTTCTAGGGCCACAAAAGCACCCAGGACAGGGAAGCCCCCTACCAGCCACACCCCAGTGATCCAGCTCACACTTTACCCTTGCTCTCCCTCCTCCAGCTTCTCCGCAGGTGAAGTCAGTGGTTTCTGAACCTACTTGGCTGTCAAAATTACCTGGGGAGGTTTTTAAAAGTTGGCATGCCCAGGCCCAATCCCAGACTCTCTGTAACAGGATCTCCAGGAAGGGCTTTAGAAATGATTTTAAAAGAGATGCTCAGCTGATCTGATTTGGGAACCACTGGGCTTATCTCCAGAGGTTCAAGTTCTGCATCTTCTGACTGCTCCTTTCAGACCAAATCCAGTGTCCCTTGTACCCCTGGCTTCTCCCAGGCTGGAGGCCACCCTCCAATGGTCCCTTGAGCCCAACCCTGAGCATTTAGGACTTCCTTGAGTGTCTGGGAGTTTTCCTCAGGCCCAGATGCAGACACAAGATGTCCTCCCACTTCCCTCTCCCTATGAGTTTCCACTGGCAGAGACCTGCCATCTCTCCATCCCACTAAAACAGCTGCCAGGGCTGCTTCCAGCCCACACCAGAGCTGTGGGGTAAAGGGAACCTATTTCCCAGAAACCTCCACGTCCCTAAAAGCTCCTACTGTGCTGCTGAAAATCCCCATCCTCACTTATGTCAGAGGCAGCCAGGCCTCAATCCTGCTTCTGCTGCCACCCCTCGCCCTCGGATTTTTTTGCCCCCGCATTTCTGTCTAAAAGCCTTTTCTCTCTGTGAATGGCTTTCAACTGCTTTTCTTAGCAACTCCTCACAGCGGGGTGGGAGGTCTAGTTGCAAGCCAGAGCTGCGTGGAACTGTGGCAGGCAGAGGATGTGGGAAGGGCCACCGTGGGCCTGGCTCTTGCCAGCCCCCAGCGGCCTGTATGAGGAAGAGCAGCATTGGTCACAAGGCTGTTTAGGATGGCAGCCACAGGGGAGGGCTGAGTCATTCCACTGGGGTCCCCTGGGCAGCCCAGGGCTCTGTCTCTTTCCCAGGGCTTCCTCTCCCCTCTACCCAGGGTGCTCTTCTTGACCTGACGCTCTGTCCTGCTCTGGTCCTAAGATGGGGCTTCTGGCCTAACCGCAAGGTATGAGCAGGTGCCTCACTTGATCTGTCCAGGGGTGACAGCTGGCATCCGCCCTGGTGCTTCTTCTGCAGCCCTCACACAGGTGACCCAGAGGTCTCCTGATCTTTTCACAGTCAGAGAGGAGCCACAGCTTGGTGACCCTGCATCCTTAGTGACTAGAGGCCTCAAGTTTGGGCTGTGGAGGGGCCTCCATTCAGGAACCACCCTGGGGGAACCCCAGCCCTTGTGGCTATCTCTGAGTGTGCGTGTGTGTGAGTGTGCACGTGTGTGTGAGTG